AATTTTGAAGCATTGCATCGAATACTTTATGCTACAGTATTTAAATACTATATTTTTCACTAACAAGTTATGAAGCTTAGCGGTCAAAACATCATATTAAATCAAGGTGAGGGCACTCAGGAATCAGTTTCTCTTATCTAGGAGTGATATATTTACACAACTTGTAGCATCTGGAAATCTTTTCCACGTATGTTTGTGTTCCTGTGTAACATAACCCTTGTAATCTCATCCTAATGTGGGATGGGACTGTGAGCCCCTGAAGATGATGTCTTATTCATACCTTTGTTGGCCATCTTGGCAGAGGTTCTGCATCTCAACAGGGCTGGATTTGTAGCAGCTTTGTGGAGCTACCTGTCCTGTGGCTGCTCTGAGGTGGAGAGGGTGCTGGCGTGTGGGATCTGACCAAACCCACCAGAGCTGTACCCTTCTTACATGTGTTATATATTGCAGCCATGTATTATCATTTCATACACGTTTTTTTTTTAAATGAACGTAGTTAATTTCTTGAACTAAACCCAATCCCATCCTTTTGAGAAAGTAATAAGGGAAGTATGCAAGAGCAGTATCTGTTTTAAAATATTTCACAGAATGGATTGGGTTGGAAGGGGGGATCTAAAGGTCATCTAGGTTTGGTAGACCTTCCCCTCCATGCTGCTCAAAATCCCATCAATCTGGTGGTTTTTTGCTACTAAGTTGAGAGAAAATATAGTAGTGTAAATCCAGTGTATTTGGATCTTGCTTCCCTTGCTAACTGGAAACACGAAAAAAGAGATGGGGAATTTTGTGCTGCATCTCCTGAGGGTTTGTCTGCTCATGTTTACAATTGGTGTGTCACACCAACACAATGTTCACCCTCATCTTTCCTCTAATGGTCTCTGTACCACTGTCCATGTTCCTGCTTGCCTTCATAGCATGTTTTGGGACAAGGATTTCTTCTTAGAGACATGAAACATCTCTGGGCTCTTAGTTCTAAGGAGAGACTGCTGTAAGTAAAAATGGATGCAAATGTAGCTGGTTCTGCAAAACAGCACTTGTGTTTTGAAATGAAGTGGCGTTGTGTGGTGTTCCTGACTCTTGCAATCACTTTGAGTATTTGTGCAACTGGGATTTACTAGCAAAGTGAAAGTGGAAAGGAATTTCTGAGCAGGAATATCAAATCATGGAATACACCTTCAGCTGAAAAGAAAAGAGCTTTTCTGAGGGGTTGGGAGATTTTTGTCTTAACAATAATAGCCTTTACATGTGCTAAAGCTAACAAATGGCCAGAAGCCTTGGATGCCACCAAAGGTTTTATTAATCCATTGGAGCTATTGATAGGTGATAGAGATCAAACCATCCCTTAAGATTTGAAGGTCTGGGCATGAGTAGCAAAGAGGAGTTGCAGTGCTGCAGATTGCAGCAGATGTGACCCATTGTGGGATGCCCTGTGTCATTGGAAATGCAAAGATGCATTGAAGCTCTCTTGGATTGTTCACTCCTCAGCATACTAAATGCTTCTCTAAAGTATTTCAGAATCTGAGCTATAAAGTAATTTGAATTCAGAAAGGAAGATAATAAAATAATAGATAGAAAAAAACTCTGTAGAGTATAGACTGTTTGAAAGAGCATGAAAGTCTTTATCAAATACCTTTTACAGTAGAATTCATTTGTGTTACCACAGGGAGCAATTGTGATCCTCAAATCAAGACAGCAGAAAAATCTGAAAAGGTTTCTCCTCCTGCTCCTCAGATCCACATTATTTTGATGCTAAATCTTGTCCCAGATTTATCATTGCTACTCTTTGGTTTATTTGTCTGCTTGTCTCCCTGATCATTCCTGTTTATTCCTTCTCCTTTTTTCCCCCACTGATTCCTTTTTAACTGAGTCCAGACACCAAGGGAAAGTCCTATGTAGATCACCTGCAGAAATACTGGGGAGAATTTTGTCCAGCATTAACTCTCAACATGCTCCTGGCCAGCTTCCCTGCTTGCCCTTGCACCTAGTGCTCAAAATGAAATTTTGTCATGAAAGTCTCAAAAGATTTGATAAATCTCAGTCTTTTTATTTGCATTGAGTTTGTGGTTTTGATGTGATAGCTGCAGGGCAGCCAATGACAGGCTTGAATGTCTGACCTCTCAGTCTTGGAAATAAACTGTTACTTAGACATTTAAAAATAAAGGCTTGAAAAGAGCAAATCCAAAATTCAAGTTACAAATACAATGAAAATATGTTGATTCAAATCCTGCAAGCAGTTGACAATTTTCTGCCCTTTATAGCCTATCCATCAATTCATGGAGGCTACTGCCCAACAGTCAATTAATTAGGAATAGCAAACACAGAACTGAATTATATTCTTACCTTTTTAGCATCATGTCACAGAGTAAAACCTTATCCATGGGAGGCAAACCAGAACTGTAGATCACAGCAGAGCTGTTCAGCTGCAAAGACAAACCAGCAGATGGATGAGCTTAGAATTATAGCCCAGCTTTAGAACTGGCTTTGAGTTTACATTGAATTTACCATTTGAGGTATCAAGACTGTATTACAAGGTTTCTTTAGAACTGAAAACAGGTGCTAAATAGAAAATAGATGCTAAATTAGTAGCATCTTGTTAATTTTGCACATCAAACAAACCCAGCACCCTAAAATGAAGAAGGATGTTTTTGCTTGGCACATCTAAGCTGGGTTTGTTGAACTCAGACCTTCCCCAGGCCATGTGAATTAGCTGGAAGGCTACTGAGATAAAGTTCCTGCTATTTATGAGTTTGATTTGAGAAAGAAGAGAAAGTACATGTTTCCATTCCTCAGAGGAAAACAAACCCTCGTGGGTTTTAAGACCCAGTGGAAAAGGCTGTGGAGGTTTTTGAATGCCACTAAGGAAGAGGCTTCCATCTCTCCATGTGTATTGCTCAGAAACCTGTCTGCCTACTCTGTCTTTACCATTTCTCAAGTAGTACTCTACTCCCTCCAAAATCTGACATGCTACAAAGCAATAATCCTCCATGAGTCTGCCATTCCATGTAAGTGTGTTAAAGTAAATGTAAACACACACATCAAGTTGGGGGAGTTATTTTCTGCAGCTAAATTGGTGCGTTTCCAGCAAATACTGAGAATATACAGCTGGAGGATGAAGGACATAAGCCTGTTTGTTAATGCAGTTTCACAGTGAAGGTGTTAGAATTAGCAGAGAAAGGAAGGGAAAGAGAAAATTGCGGAAAAGCTTCATCTATCTCCTTATTGCCTCCTGAGATAGATTGTTCAGAGCTAAAGGAACCCTAGACATGAACCAAATCTCCTGCTGTCCTATATAGCTTTTACAATCTCCTTTTTAATAACCCAAACTACAGGGTAGTCTGACTATTAGACAAGCCGTTCTTTTGAATTCTCTCCACAATGTGTATAGACATGATAAAAAAACCAATTCTCATTAAAGCTGCCAATGCTGTTTCAAAAGCAGGTGGTTTAAAATGTTTCCTATACAAAGCAAAACACATTTCTTGTGCATTACACACTGCTTAATAGGGAGTGTAAGATTACACTGCTATGTTGTGTATAACACTGCATCTTAAATAATAGGATATTGTAAGTTGTCTTGGAAATATGTTTCGCATGAATATGGAAGATATAATGATATGCACTGAGCAATTTTCAGAAGTGCTGGAACACTGCCTTGTGTGACAACCTCTGAGCTAAAGTAGTTGAAAATAGCATCTGGAATTTCAGATTATACAGTCTCTGATCCTAACTGATTATTTTTTCTAGGATATTGTTCAGTCAGCATGTGGATATATGAAAGACAAGGCTTCTCCTGTCCTGTGGGAATGCTTACTGTTTATGTTATAAATTAAGGATGGTAGAAATTGAGTGCTCTCAACATGCATTTTCATTTTTCACTGAAGTCACTCTTTTATAAGGAATGCAGGATTGATCTGACGTAAAAATTGTGATATACAACTCCCTCCCTAAGCTGCCTGTTCATATCCTTTTCCAAACCAGTTCTGAAAAAAACCCCCAGCAACCTACAGAGGTCCAGTTGCACTTCTGTACAAACTCAGTGTTTGCCATTCACTTCAGCAGAAGCAGACTTTGGTCCTTCATTGATGTGAACATTTCAGTCTATCTGTGAATTTCATCAGCAATCAGAAAACCTCATAAAGCATGGTAATTCAGGTTCTTGTGAATAAGCACAGTAATTCATGTGATATTTTAAAATGAACAAAAAATGTTTGTATGTATTATAAACTGCTTTTAATGAAATAAAATTCATTTGGGTCTTCAGTGTGCCTGCCTATCTTAATTTTCCCATCTTCTGCTTTAAGAAATAATTACTTCCTTTCTGATAAATCAACTTCTGCAAACAAGGTGAAAATTGATTATGAGCTGATTAAGTTAAATAAAATATTAACATAAACACTTACGTAATGCAGCTTGGCAGTGAATTTCTTATTCTTGAAGAGGTGAATTTTAAAAATGTATTTTCTGTGAGTCCTGCTTCTCCTGAGAAGTCTCTGTAAATTCAACAGGTGACATTACAGATAATCCAGTAATCAGTGTTTCACCTGCCATTTCATGGGCCCATAAACTACTGCAGTTTAACTTACATGACTCTAGCCAATAATAATGTATGTAAATAACGTGTTAAACACCTAGTTATCACTCTGCTCATATTAGCTCTTTCATACTAATGATTTATTTTCATTTTCTCCAGGATATAGACCTGCGGCTAACTGGATTTGATTTATAAGAGGGGATTCTGCAGTAAATGGCTGCTCTCTTCATATTGCTGCTATGGAAAACAGAATTGTCAATAGGATGTAGTCTGATAAATAGTGCTGAGTGAAGATGCAGCTTCAATAAGTGTGAAATCAATGGAAGATACTTACCGCATGAAAAGCCTTTTGAGATTTTTCTGACAGGCGCCTATTTAGGAAACTTGATCTGTTTCCTCCGGTCGCCCTGTTTTTACACCAGTGGATACAAATCAGATTGCTTCACTGTAGTTACACAACTAATGTGGGACCATGGCCTTTCCAAGATCCATGTGGCTGAACTGTGTATGGAGAGCGACGGCGCTCCGCCTGCTGCACACGGGATTGAACGCCACTTTTGCTTTTTCCATACTTGGATTTTTGCTCCACGCTGCAGCTGTGTCCTCCCAAAAATTGGATGATACCAACCCAGTGGTGACGACCAACTTTGGCAAGATAAGAGGGATTAAGAAGGAACTTAACAATGAAATTTTGGGGCCCGTTATTCAGTTTCTCGGGGTTCCATACGCTGCCCCTCCAACAGGGGAGCGCCGCTTTCAACCTCCTGAGCCTCCATCTCCCTGGGCAGATATCAAAAACACCACCCAGTTTGCTCCAGTGTGTCCCCAGAACATTATAGAAGGCAGGTTGCCTGAAGTCATGCTTCCCGTGTGGTTTACTAATAACTTGGATGTAGTTTCAACCTATGTGCAAGATCAGAACGAAGACTGCCTCTATTTAAATATCTATGTCCCAACTGAGGATGGTGAGTTAATAGCAGGCAAAACAGGGAGATCTTTTTATTTTCCTGTTCTACTTTCTAACAGTATTAATTCACGTGTACTGGTAGCATGCATGGCTTTCTCTGTTTGCATGCCAGCTTACTACATGTGTGCATGCTGCTTTTCTCTGTGTGCATTTGTCCTCGCTTTTTGATTTTTATTTTATTTTAAATTTCTTTCTTTTTTCTTTCTGTCTACACTCATTTTTTTTCCCCCACAGCACGTGTAATTTTTAGGTCAAAGTTGGTGCCTAATTCTCATTGCCACCCACTGACTTCTGGGAAGATGCATCAACATCTTTTCCATTGCATGTGCAGGCACAACAAGTTGAGAATCTTCCGCACCTAATAAAGCAGGTCATATTTAAGTTAGATAGTGGTGTTGCATGCTCCTACTGTCTGTGACGGAGCTCCATGTTATTTTCTAGTCTTCTATTCATTTTTCAGTCAAAAGAATATCCAAGGAATGTGCCAGAAAACCCGGCAAGAAAATTTGTAGAAAAGGAGGTATGTATAAAGTGGACAAAAAAAACCAAACAAAAAAACGGGGGAGAGATCGAAACCTTGCAAAAGGAGAAGGAATAATACAGGTGAAAGAGGCTGATTGCTGGTGCTGTGAACTGTTAGGGACTGTCTTGTCCTGGTGGAGAGGTGTTTAAAGAGAGGTCCATGTATGACAGATGAGAAGATAATGTTTGTAAGGCCAGGATCCAGTTGCACCTGAGCATCTCTGCCTGGCACTCTCTGCAGTGACAGTGCTGGCAGCTTCTCTCTTGGCCTCCAGGCTCTGGGCAGTGCCTGCAGTGGCACCAGGGGATGGGATGTTGTGTGTGGATGCAGAGGAGGGAGCTCTGTGCCCTGGGATGGGCACTGCCACCATTGGAAGGGCTGGCACAGCCCACAGCTCTTCCCTCCAGAACTATGGCATAATGGCTGGGAAGCATTATAGCAATATGCAGGGCTGAGGCCTAAACTGGCTTTCTCCAGGATATTCCCTGTTTTCTTGGAACAGGTTTAACTTTTCTGGAGTGTAGATGTGAAACTTTTTTTTTCTTTTTCGTTTACGTGCTTCTAAAAGTGAGCTTTGATTTCCTTTATTCTGTGATTACAGCTCTCTTTGTCAAAGCCCAAAAGCTCTTAATAGGGGTGTAGGGAACTGTTAAAATATTGTGACATGGTACTTTGGGAGCTAGACTGCTTTTGGAAGCTTTGGAAACTTGGCTTCTCCCCTTTCTGTGTTAAATACTATGGAAGAGTTTGCAGATTTCTTTGTGAATATTTGCAAATTCCTCAAGCAGTTGACATGCAACAGAGAAGGTCTATTGTGGTACTGATTAAAAGGAGGCATTTGGTGCTAGTTTTGAAGGACTAATTTTGTACTGTGCAAGTTTGTTTTTGCATCAAATGATTTTCCTTTATTGTTTTCTTTAAAATATGTTACCTTAGAGCTGGACTACATGTGAATTAGAATGCTTTCTGGGGTAAACAAAGAGTACTGTGGACATGCGCAGTTGCCTATTAGCTGTAATCCATTTCTTTTTTATCCTGTTATTCCAAAACAAACACATTTTAGGAAAGCAGATACCAGAAATGTTTAGAGCTGGGCAAAATTTAACTCTTTAAACCCTGCATTAGTTTTTTAAGGCAGTATCTAGGCTCTAAATCAGGGTGGCCTTGTTCCCAAGGCTTTCGCTCTTACAGCTCCTTACTGCTGGTTGCAGCTAGCTGTTAATTATTAATTGTTAATTGTAGTTGCTCGATGAATGCTTTTTTGAGATGTCTAAATCCACTTTCAGCGACTTAAAGCAATTTGTGTTTAAAGTGTCAGGCTTTGAGGCATCTCCAGTTTTCTGTTAGGGAATTTTTGCTTGGTGCTGTAAAAGTACAATTGGTTAAGCTGGGTTCCCAAAGCTGGAAATGAAGATAATCAGGGTACTGTGAGCAACGTCACTTCTTCACACATCATTCAAGTTAGAATAACTGCTGTCATTTATATGCATTCAATTAATGTGCAGTGCTGCAGCAGTTATTACGCAGTTCATCAAGCGTGTGTAATTAGCTGAGCAACTTTCACTTCCTATCACCCAGACGCTGATTCACAAAGTCATAAATAAAGATGCAGATCCCCATCATTGTTCTCGGAGAGCATCTTTCGTACGAGAGAGTATTAAGAAAAAAATAATCAGAAAAATAACAAAAGTCAAGGGAGGGAGAGCCCAGTAGCTGAGAAAGTCATGCTCATTGTCCTGTGGGCCTGAAGGAGAATCAAGAGAGTTACTTGAAATTCAGTAGGTACCTTTCCACTTAGATTCATTGCACACGCAGCACAATAAAAAGCCTACCTCTTGCTGTTGACAAGTGCAGAGAGCTCCTGAATACCTTCAGCTGGGCAGCTGAGATATCTGTAGTAATGTCTGTTCTCTGAGTAAATCTCACTCTGCTCACCTGATTTAGATTTATCCTGGCCTGGGGTTGCCCCCACGGCCAGGGGCAAAAGGAGTTGCAGGACCAAGTTGCAGTAGAGTCACAGCAACTGAGCAGCAACCACAGCTGGGAAATGGCATCAGTTTTGTATCAGAAACAAGAAAGGCCCAACACTCTCTCTTTTGCTGGATTTTTATGTTACAGTCATAGCATCACAGTGATGAAAATTATTGGAAGGAGAAAATCTGGAAATCAGAAGCAGACTCTTACACCATCTATTTAATTCATAAAGAATATGTAGGATGAAAGTGATTGAAGCAGCAACCATATGCTATCCTTACATGTGGTTTGATTCCTTCTTACTACATGAAATAGATTGAATTAAATAAATTAGTATTTATACTTAATTGTCAGCTGAGGGACATTAGAAAATTAAAAATTTTTAAGAACAGGGAGCAATCTGATTAAAATAGATGTGGAAATGAAAGGAGTTCTAGCCATGAGTCATGCTAGAGATGGTAATGAGCATTATATCCATGACCTCCTGTTGGGATTTGGATGTGCCCACAGCAGAGACTGCAGAATGATAGGCTGAAGCTGGGTGAAAAGAAATGACACAGTTCAGCATGTTTTTTGCAAAACATGAAGGCATGCATTCCAGTTACTTGTCCTTCAGTTTACTGATTCAAAAATAAAGAAAGAGCATCTGGTTTTGTGTCTTTTTCTTCAGGTACATCAAGGTCAGAGGCTGCTAATTCTGTTTTGGGTATGCAGAAACTTGTGTTTGCAAGGGCTGGTTTTGGAAAATCAGTGCAAAGGCATCTGCAACTCTAAATTTTAATAGATCCTGGTTATATTGTAGGTTATACCATTTTAGTGATTGATACTAATTATATTGTCTCTCATCTGGCATTTCCTGAATTTCCTGACAAACCTTTGTAGCATTTCTAGGGATTACCTGAATAGTATTCTACTCTTTGGCATTTCAGAACTCTAAATTTACCTTATAGTCAAAACACAAATATTTTACTTGTGATCCAGAATGTTTCCTTATCTCTTAGGAGGACAAGTGCATCCTGCTTTAGCTGCATACCTGTGGTGTTTTAATATTGTATATTAATTTCTTTCAATTGCAATGGTTTGCACCAGGAATTTCTTAACTTAATGACAACTGCATAAACAAAATTTGGAAACGTTCACTTATATGCCCACTAAAAGAACCCCCAGGTGTTGTGTGCTCTGCACTTGGGATGACAGTGTGCTCTTTCTTAGGAACCTGTACTAAATCTTTCATGCTGCCTGAAGATGCCTCAATGTAAAAATGTGGAGCTGTAGGTGGTACATCCTCAATGTCATGGAGCCAGGCAGATGCAGTTTTGGATAAATTAGTATTTGTAGGAGATTTAGGTGTAGAATAAGGAAAGAAATCACTTGATCCTTACTTTTATGTTTAGGAATTATCAGTGGCTCAGAGACTGCCCAATATCAGTGACTTCCCCACATGTGGATTCTGTTTCTTATTCTAGTCAGGGCAGTGAATAAATTTTAAATGCAAAGACTCATGATCTGAACTACCTCATTTGAGAGTGTAGGATTAGACAGCTCTATTAATATTTATGCCTCCTAATGGGCTACTTGATTTTCAGAGCAAAGCTCCCCACACCATACTTTCTGGGTTATGGCTGTGGTTACTATGGACGCACGGGAGCAAATGTACACACACACAAATATATTCATGGAACTGAAACACAAATCACACTGCTGTAATCTCATCCTGCTTTGATCTCCCTTTGTTTTCAATAGAGAATATGTTACATCAGTTCTGTTTTGTAAGAGGCTCTGATAACCTTAGGGCTTTAAGCTTAGCAATGTGAAATATTCTTTAGGAGACTAAGCAGAAATTTCACCTGTTACCTTGTGTTTCTGTAGAGTGGTTGTTCCAGTACTCCATTTAACTACAATAGAACTGTTTACTTATCATCAGATCTTGGAAATGAGCAATTAATAGAACTTGTGCAGTTCCTGTGGACTCCCTCAAATGAAGATCTTTTTCTAAACCCATTATAGCTCTGAAATCAACCAGAAAAGGACAAGCTGAGACCTTTAAAATGTGTATTTCCACTGGCAAAGGTTGTCAATTTATTTTCAGTATTCCTTTTTTCTAAAGATGTAATTTAGAAAATAATATCAAAGAAATGGAAGAGTAGATGGTAAATTGTCCAAAATTACTGAAATATTCCTTTCTCTACGGCCATGTGAATGAAAAATATGAAATCTAAGGTGTGAGCTTCAATCACTGTAGACAGAGGTCTGTCAAAATAAGTTATGCTGTCAGTAGACTAAAAACATGCCTTTGCAGACCATTGCCAGAGCTCTGGGTCTCTTGAAAATGAGTTCCAAACTTACAAAATATTCCTTTGTGTGTATTTTGGGGACATCAACCCTTTAAAAGGGTTTATATCTTCATTAGCCCACTTTGAAAATTCCTAACAAATTATTTGTCTGTAGTATTTTTGTGTCAGTATCTGCCTGCACATATTTGAATTTTCACCCCCATCCAT